TTCGGTTTTTTTCAATTTTTTTTTCTCACAGTCGGTACGCTAAAAAGATGAGAAACCACAAAAAAAAATTTTTTTCCACCCATTCAATAATACTACATAACAAATATCGTAAATTACATAAAAAAAAAAATCTTTTTTTTTTCTACCTTGAAAAATAATTTAAACCGAAAAAAAAAATTTTTCGAAAAACCGAAAAAAAAAATATTGCAGTATTCTACGTGAAAAAACAAACATTTTTTCCCCTATAAAATTTTTTTCGATTGTTACAATTTGACGGAGATAAAAAATGTTGAAAAAAACTGTCACTTCCAGGAAAAAATGCCCGTGCGCGCGTCATATTTGACGAAAATAAATTTTTGATAAGTGATTCAGATAGGGCTTGGTAATAGCTAAAAAATGGTGTACTTCAAATTTTCGTACGATTTTTTTTCCAAAATTGGCTAATTGTCAAAAATAATAAAAAAATTTCAGAATTTTCAATTTTGCATAATTGTTGCAAAATTTAAAAAAACAATCGATGGCATACTAATACCCTACCAACTTCTACAGCATCCTACCTTACCAACCTATGGAGATGAATATTGGTGGGTGAGTGGGTGAGAGTAGGTAGGTGGGTGGAATAGGTTAACGGGGGTAGGGACACTGGTAAATCCTAAGTAAATTAAAACATTATTAATTTTTTATTTTAGTTTAATTTATTACTTTTTTTATAAAATTAAAAATACAATTTTTTTTTTCTTTTTAATATTATTGTTTAATTTTTTTGGATCCGACGACCTTAGAGGGGCGAGTCGGCTTCCTCATTGTTGGTTGAGCCGGAATCAAAATTACTTTCCGTCGAACACACTCAACGTTTTTTACTGTAAAAAAATTTTTTAATTATTATTTTTAATTTAAATTTATTAATTCTTTCTATAACGTAATTACTTACATTAGCGGTTAAATCGAGTGGTTTATCGATTTGGGTATCATCTCCTCTTTGACAGCCTGCGGATGTTGCTGTCGATGAGGTTGCTGTTGACGTCGCTGGTGATGTTGACCTCGACGTTGCTGATGACGATGATAATGTCATCGACGCAGATGACGTTGACATCCTCGAAGATGACCCATTACCTTGCTTCACCATGGCTGTTGTTGATGGTGCAGCAATGTTGTTTATGCTGGAAAGCCTTCGCTTAACTTTCGCAGCAAGTTCGTCTTGCTCCGCTTTAGCTAAGTCGGCTTTTCGTTTCCGCTCCAATCGAGCGGATTCTTGCTGCCTCCTCATAGCGTCCGCACGCTTATGTTGCTCTAACTGTGCATTGACGCGATCATTGACAATCTTGTCAATTTGATACGCGACTTGATGCGCCATCATTCTGGCCACCATAGATTCCTTGATCCACTGAAAAGAGATAAGACAATTAAATATTAATGAAAAATATAAATTGTTATAATTTTATAATAATACTTACTTGTTGAACCGTAGCTTTCATTTCTCTGATTTGCAGTCCTTGAGGACTGCTCTCCTCCACAAATCGTTGCAACTAAAAATAAATAATAATAAATAAATAAATAAATAAATAAATAAATAAATAAATATATGAGAAAAAAATACTTACAGTAATTAATATTAAAATTAAGAGCCGATATAACGCCTCTTTTGCCACGTTCTGCATGGTAGGAAGCTGGTAAGTGGTAAGCTGAAATTGAATAATAATTTTATTAAAAAATTATAAAAGTTATTTTAATTATTTTTAAATTATTTAAAATTATACTTACAGTTTCTAAAAACTCACACGCTTTGATGATATTTTCCATTGTTGTTGGAAATAAACTTTATAAAAAATATAAAACTTACTAATGTTTAAATAATAATAAACAATTAGCAGTTCACTGTGAACAGCTCGAAGTTTCCTTTAAGACTGACCAACGAAAATCCTACTGAACACTCACACTATTATCAGGTACGAATTTTCTACAATATATGTAACGCTACACACAAACGTAGACATTCTTGGAGTGAGATAGGACGTTTAGTCTACCCTTTCCTACCCCAAGTAGGCTAGAAAGTTTGTCACTTTCTAAAAACTATAAATCTTGACGTCCCGCTGACTTTATGGTCATACGCAAAAAACACATTAAACGCAGGTCACGCGTCCGCGCTATGAGTTTTGTTTGACCATCCTTAAACCGTCTATGATCTACATTTGCGATAGTCATAGGTAACATAAGATAAGAGGGAACGTAGTAAGCATAGATGCTCTCTCTTTCTGAAAGTAGTGGAGAAGCTTGATCACCCTCAAACCAGCTGTGATCTACATTTATGATAGACATAATCAACTTAAGATAATAGGGTAGTTAGTAAGCATAGCTGATCATGCGCTCCCCTCCTCCTCACACTATGGATCACGCTGAGTCAGAGCTAGAGAAAGAGCATACATTTAATACTACTATAGTAGCGCATCCCCATCAGGCCAGAACTATAGACATCATGCGCTCCCCTCCTCCTCCGCACGCTCGGGCCCTATACCAAATGTATGCATGTGTAGCTAATATACACAATATGCATCCTCTAAGGGGTGCATGTGGCATTGGCTCTAGTGGTAGAACGCTAGCCTGCCAATCCAGAGGACTCCGGTTCGATTCTCCGGTCTGTCTTTTCATTTTTTTCAAAAAATCGTCGCTATTTTCTATATTAGTTTCATTCTCAATGTAGCAAGTAAATTGTTAATAATATATATTTATAACTTTAAAAAAAAAAAACATTTAAATTTAATTAGACTGAAAGCACTACGTATAGGGTCCCTAGGGACTAGGAGCCCTAGGGACTAGGAGCCCTAGAAACCTTCCTCAAAAATTATAAACAATTATTAACATTAATAATAATAATTAACATGGAAGGGATAGAAGCCAGGGAATCAAAGGGTTAAACCAAGGGACCCCCCACGAATATTGTTAATAATAATTGTTAGCAATAATAATTATTATTAACATGAAAGGGTTAAGCCAGGGGGGCCAAAGGGTTAAGCCCGGTGGGGTCAAAGGGTTACAGACCCCCCGCAGGTGTGCTGGAACATACGTATATTCCAGCACACCGGAGACCCCCCGCAGGTGTGCTGGAACATACATTGCTATACTACTGCTCTCTCTCTCTCTCTCTTTCTCTTCTTCTGCGCCATCTCCATCGCTCCAGTCGTCAGCTCAGCCCGTGTTCAGCACCTCGTAAACAAAGATCCAATCATAAGTGTGTGTACCACACGCGCACACTCTCAGCTTGGTGCGGTGCACGAAGTCGAGAGCCAAACGGATGAAATCGGCCTAGCCGAGATTCTCCGTTACAATGTAATAAGTAAATTTTTATAAACATCTATAGTAGTTTTCATTGAAAACCCTATGACGGTTAAAAAACACCGTTGAAAAGCTGTGGCGGTTCTAGAATAAAAAAATTGCACTTTATGACGCAATAAGTGTTGTCATAGCTTATCTACTTCGCGACTATAATCGATACGTGTAATATGTGTGTGTGTGTGTGTGTGTGTATGTGTGTGTGAAAAAGTGACTTACTTGCTTTTCAACCTCTTACGCCGTGTTACATGAAGCGAATTTGCTCATACCTTATCGACAATTATAAAGGCGATAAGCACCGTGGTTTGAGCGATTGAGCTCATCTCTTATGTTGTACTTGATTTAAGGTTCTTTATTTCTCTGTTGGCGGAAATAAGAGTTGCCATTTCGTATTTATCCGAGAACTTATGTATTATATTTAAATCATTGTCCTCTACGCAATCTCAGCCAATCATGTTAATTTATAGCTGTGGAAGTGAGCTAAATCCACTAAATAATTAGCAAGATATAGTTCTTGATGCATGGAAGCTAATTCTTTTTTGCACTGTGACCAAAGCCGTCTATCTTCCTTCATACGCAGTCATTTATTTTCAACTACGATCGCCAAAATGGTGCAGTTTCAGATCTCGGAGCGAGTTTCAAAGTTAACGGATTTTTCGCCAATTCTTAGGTGGATCCAAAATTTTTAACTGACCTGACTTGTACTCGTGATGCTCCGAGTAAAACTAAAAAAGTCAGTTAAAATCCCTTTTGTTACAACCGTGCTCTGGAACAGGAATTGTATAAGAATAAGAATAAAGAGCGAGCTGTTGAAGTTACACCACCATTTTGGATCACACCCTCTCACTTTATATGGAGAATGCAAAATCTCAAACTTGTCGTAGTTGAGAGGCGCCAGCAGTTTTTTCGCATTGTCCGATTGAAATCCCCGACGACTGTTGCAGTTGTCGGAGAAACGAGGTAATCGGAATAAGCCGTGATGCGAGATTTTGCTGGTGAATAAAACCTTAAAATTCTTCCGTTACAAAATACACAAACAAAATATCTGGAAATCCTAATCGTTTGGCGAAGAATTTGTTTGATACAATACCTAATGTTTCAAAGTTCAAAATATATAAAATACCATTTTTATATTGCTAACATTTATATTGTTATCTTCTATTTGAAACAATATAAATATGCAACAATAGGTGTGGGTTATGGAAGATGTATCTTCATGTATTAATTTATCAATAATTTATAACTATTATTTATAAAATTTACTTATTGTATTTTATAGACTGATTGAAAGAGCAAAAATTAGGCAGTTTTTTAATAATCGTCTCTAATAAGTAAGAGAAGCATATCGGAGGAGCTAACAACTTTAAAATAGAAAACTAAATTTGTAATTGAACTGACTATTATTGGAAACAGCGGGTATCAATCACAAATGACAAAATAATTTATTTTATCATTTATTCTATCATTGGAGATTGTCTTAACTAGTTTCATTACCTTACATAATTTTCTAAATATTATAAAATTCAGTGTATGGCTATAATTTGTTTATAAAATAAATGTACGATATAAATAATGCTTACTTCAAAATATTAATTATTTGGAATATTGGCAGATAAAAATAATATTTGAAACAATAAAAATCCTAGGGATAATTAAGACTATAAATTACCTACTTCATTCTGAATTGATGGATTGTACAATATTACAGGTTGATGATGATTCATTGAATTGGATGATTTTTTAAAAGCACTAGAAGAGAGATCTACAAAACTGCCGGCTATTTGTCCCGTAAGGCTAGAAATAAAATCACCAAATCCTGGATTTCCTGATCCGTAGCTACTATGTTGATTAATCTTGTAATTATTATATATATCTCTCTTTGATCTTTCGAGTGAATATATTTGAAATGTTTCATCTCTAGTATGTTGACCAGTGTACTTATTATGAATTTTCAAATTCTTAAGTTCAACCCAACGTTGCTTGTGATGATCGTTTAATTTTCTCTTATCTATATTCAAAACATTATTAGTTAAAAATAGTTAAAGAAATTAACTTAATATTATAATAATCTTACCATTTAATCGAAATTGCTCAGTGCTATACTCATTTTTATAGTTTCTAATAATTCCTGTATTATTTTCACCTTCAATCATATGCGATATATTAAATGTATTAAACTGCTGTAACACGGTTTTTACGTCAAATTCATCATGACTTTTCATAATCTTATTCTTGAATAAGTTAGAGTTACGGTAATTACTAGTGCTACAACTTTTAGAATACATCGCTATCATCAATAGAAGAATGCTCAGCTGTTTCACTGAAACCTGTGAATAAATAATTGCAAAAGTGTATAAATTTCATTTTATACTCTGTTTATAATTTAATTTATTCTTAATTATAGTAACGAATTAGATTCGTTAGAAAATGGTAAGTATAATAATTTAACAGACGTATATATCTATGCAGATTGTATGAATGAAACTCTTAGATTCAATTTTTACTTAGGAGGATAAATGACTTCATGAATTGAAGTCATATAGCAATGTATGTTCTAGGTCACCTTTCCCTCTGTGAAGGTGGCCTAGAACATACGTATTTACGTATATACGTTCTGGGCCAGGTAAGGACCAGGTGGTTGAAGAAAGTCCCTACTAGTGACCTTAGTACTTTTTGTGTTAAATTCTTTAAATGTATTTAAATAGTTATAGATTATTAATAATAGATGAATTAAATATTAATTTGAAAATGAAGAGAAAGGGGTGATTAAAAAAAATGAAGGAACAGATCGGGGAATCAAACCCGCGTGCTCTGGATCAGCAGGCCAGTGCTTTACCATTAGAACTGCTGTCACATGTGCATTGGAAAGTCCTTATCGTGTATATTAGCTACGCAATAGATATAGGGCTCGAGTGTGCGCTGGAAGAGGGGAGTTCTCTCTCTGGCTAAGTGAGGCTGGGAACATGCCGCGGGGAAATGAAGGGCATGCTCTCTCTCTCTAGTTCAGCATGGCTTGGTGGCATGAACGCGCGCGAAGGAGGGGAGCACATTGTTATCGTTTTCGGGCGGTTGCAATCACGACGCTCTCAGGAAGCTCGATTATGGTCCGCTTAGCAAAAACGTAGATGATGCACATAGAGCACCATATGGCCAGCCGCGAGGCTGGCCAGGTCACTTTGTGCAAAAATCTTTTGTTAAAGCGGCGGACAGTAATTGTCTTCCTCAACAGAGAATGGAGTCTTCTCAAACAAACAACTCGTTGTTTTGGGAGAGGATGTCGTAAACTTCTCTTTCCTGTATGGGCATATGCAAATGCAAATGCTGAAGTACAAAATGCGTCACCGATTGCCCTCGACATGCAACTAATGCTAGTCGACCCGAAGTAAATGCAATGTGTATTTGAACGAAGACTTGCAATCACAAGCGCAGATGTGTGTACCTTCACGTAGTGGGGCTGAAAACGCTGTCTCTGTAAAGAAATAGTAGGCAAAACATACAACGCTTGCCCCTAGGGCAAAAGGTCAACCGGCCAAACAAAAATAAATAACACGGACCATGACAACACGAGGTGAGGTGCGGCCTGTAAACGCCCAAACATTCAACGCGGAGTCTACCACACCCCAAGAGCTCAACTTGAACCCAGAAAAGCCAAAATCCGGGATTCACTTGAGGGGAAATGTCTCGGGATTGTGGTACCGCGCACCCTCTTAGAGGACGGGAATCCGCTCCGGGAGCTAGTTGCAGAGGACCAATGGTCCCGGCAATCCGAATTTAATTCGGGTAGATAATAAATTGGCAATCGGTAGGTACCACTACTGTGGGTAAAGAGTCGTGGCCGTGGTTATAGCAGCCACCCAAAGTTCTTTGCCTCGAGCTCCTGGAGTAAGGCCCGACACCATTATGCGAGAAAACAGTCCATTGGTCCGAGTAACTCTCGATGACTAGAACGCACTACGGATGCCGAAACCCTTAGGAAAAATATTTCTACAGGAGGGCAGCATCCTTCCTGCTAAGGAATTTTTCAAGCCCTAATAGCTAAAGCAATTTTACAATTGAAAGCGAAATTAGTGGCTGTCAGCTCTCTTTGAAAGCGAAAACTATGCACTAAATGTCCATCAAATCCAGTGCTGCTAAAGGTGAACACTGGCTAAGACGATAGAAAAGGTGAAAACCCGACATGCTCACTCAAGTGCTACTTTGGTTGCAATTCGTCAAACACCTAACCCTGACCAAGACGAGGTTTGATTAATATCAAACCTAGCGTGAAGTTAAGCACGCCGGTACATTCGTAAGTAGTATTAAATTACATTATAATCAAATTAGTTTTAAGCAGTTAATTATAATTTAAGCAGTAAATTAATTAAGAATAAGATTAAGAATAAGATGAAGAAAAGTTACCAATCAAAAATCAGAAATTAAAAATTAAAAATAAGTAAGAATCATAGATTTAAGAATTATCAAATAAAATCAAATCAAATAAAATCAAATCAAATAAATAAAATCAAAATAATTAAATGATCTAACAAAAGTTAGAAAGCTAGGAAAATAACTAGCTCAATCAATTGTACATACGAGGTGTGATCAAAAAGTAAGGTGAATTTTGAAATTTAGCGGGCTACGTCCGTTCGATCTTCGACTTTTTTATTTGGTTATGTCGGTACACTCGTCTAGAACATACGTTCCAAATTTCAGCTTTGTAGTATGTTTGGTTTGTTTGTGAGAGGCATCAAGATTAGAAGTGTTTTGCGTGCTCCACGATTTGCTGCTGTCTAAAAACATGGATCAAAGAGTTTGCATTAAATTTTATGTGAAAAATGGAATCAAATGTTCCAAAACACTTGAAATGCTGAAAGTGGCATACGGTGAGTCTACTTTAAGCCAAAAAAATGTTTACAAGTGGTATAAACTCTTCCAAGAAGGCCGAGAAGACACCGACGACGAACCTCGTTCTGGACGCCCCAGCACATCAACAACTGATGAGAATGTTGAAGAAGTGAACAAAATAGTGTTGGGAAATCGTCGAATTACCATTAGAGAAATTGCTGATGATATTGGCATCTCATTTGGTTCGTGCCAATCAATTTTGACGAGTGTTTTAGACATGAGACGTGTGTCAGCGAAGTTTGTTCCGAAATTGCTCAATTTCGACCAAAAGAAACGTCGCATGAGCATCGCCCAAGAGCTACTGAATGACGTCAACGATGATCCTGATTTACTCAACAGGGTTATAACAGGTGACGAAACATGGGTATACGGTTATGACATCGAGACTAAGACTCAATCGTCCCAGTGGAGGCATTCTGGATCACCAAGACCAAAAAAAGCACGCCAAGTTCGATCAAATGTAAAGGTTTTGCTTACAGTTTTCTTTGACTGCAGGGGCGTGGTGCATCATGAGTTCTTGCCACAGGGTAGAACAGTAAATAAGGAATATTACCTGCAAGTTATGCGCAATTTGCGCGAAGCAATCCGCCAGAAACGTCCGAATTTGTGGAAAAATAAAAATTGGCTTTTGCACCATGATAACGCCCCTGCTCACACATCGTTGCTTGTGCGCGAATTTTTGGTTAAAACCAACACAGTAACGATGCCACAGGCACCGTATTCTCCAGATCTGGCCCCCTGTGACTTCTTCTTGTTCCCAAAACTGAAGAGGCCCATGAAAGGACGGCGTTTTGCCACGATTGAGGAGATAAAGACGGCATCGAAGGATGAACTAAACAAGATCACAAAAAATGATTTTTTGAAATGCTTTGAGGATTGGAAAAAGCGTTGGCACAAGTGCATTATATCCGAGGGGGATTACCCTGAAGGAGATAAAATAAAAATTGATGAATAAATAAATATTTTTTGAGAAAAATAAAAATTCACCTTACTTTTTGATCACACCTCGTATAAGAGCCATGGAAAACCATGGGGAAACTCGACAAGGTAACAATCGAAGCTCAAGTCAACACGCACAAACATACTCACTGCTTGCACTCGAACGCCACTCGCTTAATTTGAACGCGCACGTTAACGCTGAAACTAATAATCGAAAGCCACACTCCAGAATCGCCAACAGCGATCCCAAAGGAGGAAATATATAACTAGACATTGCGTTATACCTCGAAAGCGATATGGTCAACCATTATAGGTATAGAAAGGCGAGGAAACGTAAGCAGGATGCGACCGTTGAGAAATCAGAGCACTGCTCTAATACTCCGGCGTCAACTCAGTTTCCTTCGCAACCAAACCATTCTGACGAAAGCAAAGACGATTGCCCACCAGTTAAGAGGTTTAACTTGAACGCATAACAAAACCCTGAACTAGGCCCGAAACTGAGGATCATACAATTGAACCTCAACAAAAGGCAAGTAGCTAACGATGAGCTTGAAGAAATCATGACAGACAGAAATCTTGACATACAAGTGGCACTGGTGCAAGAACCATATCACTGGAATAACGCGATTTCAGGTATCGGCAGTGTGGCAGCCATTCATGGAGCCAAAAAAGGCGAAATGATTCAAGCTGCGATACTCTATAACCCGCACAAGGTCACTGCTACCAAGATTTCTAATCTATGTGACTCTCACTGTGTTTGTGCACAAGTAGTCCGAGCCTTTGGCGAAATTTATTTCATAAGCGTCTTTTGCCAGTTCAGCCACAGCAGGAAGACCTATCTTGATAAACTAGCTGAGACTCTGAAGCAATTGAAAGGCAAAAGAGTCTTAGTTGGAATGGATGCAAATGCCAAGTCAAAGATCTGGTCTAATACACAGGACAAGAATGAAACAGTCATTGAAGAATTCATAGACCAATTCGGGCTAATAGTGGCCAACAGGAGGGGCCAACTTCCAACGTGCCATAGTACGAGGGGTGAGACGGACATCGATGTAACTTTACATACATCAAATCTGTTAAACCTCTTGGCTAGCTGGGCGGTGAAAAAATGGGCTACCAGTGACCACAGGCCCATAGCGATCGAAATGGATTTTGCCTCACAACCAGCCAAACTCATACGAACCGAAGAAACATTAGAACCAAGGTTCAATATAAGTAAAGCTGATTGGGAGAAATTCGGGAGACTTTGTAAATTCGAGAAAGAGAACCTCTGAAGACATTGAAACACATGTTTCAAAATTGGAAGAGGTTCTAATAAGGGCAGCAGAGGACTCTATTCCATCAAAAATGAGAAGAACGTGCTCTCAACCCTGGTGGAATCCTGACTTGCGAAGTAAGAAACGAGCGATACAAGGACAACGCAAAATCGTCGCTCTGAAAGACAAGAAAGGACCGAATAGAAAACAAAGGAAAGCCTTCCAGAGATTACTTGGAAAATTGAGTC